TGAGTGAAAAGATAGGATATTTTTATATCAAATGAAAGCTCTCGTTGAGAAACTAACAGGGTTAAAATATTAGCGGCCCTTGGCTTGCCTAGAGGGAGATATTTAACTTTTAAGTATAGGTATAAAAATGAATCAGGAAAGGTTTTCTCCGCTATTATCAGGACAAAACATAGTATTGTTCGAGCCATATGAAAGAGGAACCCTACAAATCCTATAATCGGTCCGAACAACACCATGTTTTGTCCTTATAATAGCGGAGTAAATTTCCCTAGTGGCTTATAGAAAAAACTCTTTCCACGAGCTACAGGAACAATTCACTCTACTATTATAAGGACAGAACATAGTCTTCTTCGGACCATATGAAAGAGGGTCCCTACGAACCCCATAATCGGCGCGAACAACACTGTGTTTTGTCCTTAGAATAGCGGAGAAAACCTTTCCTGATTCATTTTTATACCTATACTTAAAAGTTAAATATCTCCCTCTAGGCAAGCCAAGGGCCGCTAATATTTTAACCCTGTTAGTTTCTCAACGAGAGCTTTCATTTGATATAAAAATATCCTATCTTTTCACTCAACAACACAAATACCTCCATTATAAGATCTATACGAGTATTAAAACTAAGCTTAGGAACCTCATGAGTACTGAAAATCCGAACTCAAAACGAAGATGGGGACTGGAACTAAACCTGAACCCGACATTAATATCAAGGCGCACACTAAAACCAAACCAAGAATCATGATCAGTCTCACAAATGGGACTTGCTTTCACGAGAGGTATCAGAACCACAGCTGAAACCCTGATGAGCACTAGAAACAGACCGAAGAGCCTATAGAGTATCAGATGTGCAGACTGAAAGCAAGATAAATACTATGGACATAGCTGAAACTGTGACGAGTCACAAAATCGAGGATTGAAGTCAAAATGATTATCTCAACGATGGTTGAATTCATGATGAGCATAAAAACTTGTAACTGTAATGGGTAGTACTAGAACCAGCTCAGAACCTATGGTGAGTCTCAGATGCACGATTGAAATCAAGATCAATGTCAGGACTATGACTGAAACTCTCATCAGTGTCAAATCCATAACTAAAACCAAGAGAAGTACCAGAATCACACTTGAAACCTCAATGAATCCACAAATGAGACTTTAAAGCGAGATGAGTTTCAGGACCATGACTCAACCCATCATGGGTATGAAAGCCCAAAACCGATATGAAGACGAACATTAAAATCATCTTCGAAACCCTCATAAGTATTAGAAGCAAGGACTGACATCAAGATGGATGCCATGACCACAGTGGAAACTGTGACGAGTGATAGAACCTGTAAATGAGATCTAAACGAGTACTCACAAGCTGGTTTGAAATTCCGATGAGTATCAAAAAGTCAAACTGACACGAAGATGGGCATTGGGATCATGGCTGTACCGATGATGAGTATCTGAATCCGAACTTGAAATCAAGACGAGTAGTAGGACCAGATGTGAATCTATGATGAGTCTCACAAGTGCTGTTGTCTGCATTCAACATGGGCACCAGGACTACGGATGAAATTGTGAAGTATATCAGAATCTGCAACTGAAACCAAGATGAACAGTACGATCAGGCCTAAAACCTTGATGAATATCGGAATCGCTGACTTAAAACAAGATGACTACTAAGGATAGGGCTGATACTCTGAAAAGTTTCAGAAACCGGATTTGAAATCGAAAAAGGTACCAGGAGCACAGCTGAAACCATGATGACTATCAGAAACTGGATCTCTTTTAATCAAGCTGCATACCAGGACGATGGCTCAAATCGCCATGAGTGTCACAACTTGCAACTGAAATTAAGGTACGAAATAGAGCCAGACCTGAAACCATGATGAACATAAGAAATGATGGTTGAAATCAAGATGAGTTAATGAAACCTCTTCTAAAAGTGTGAGCAGTGTTAGAAACGCGGATTGAACTAAGGATAGGTAAGGAAACCACGACTGAAACAGGCATGAGTATCTCAAGCAGCAAGTGGAATCAAGATCGTACTAGGCTCACGGCGAAACCCGTGATGAGTATTAGAAACTCGAATTAAAATCAATATGAAGACTTGAATCACGGCTGAAACTGTGCAGAGTATTAAAAACCTGTAACTAAAACCAAGGAGAGTATCAGAACGAACCCTGAACCTGTGACTAATCTCAAAAGCGCAGATTGAAATCGAGATGGGTATCAGGACGACTGCTAAAACGATGATTGGCATTTGAATTAGTAAGTGGAATAACGATGAGTACTAGAATCATACAGGAAACCGTGATGGGTTTCACCAGTACAGATTACAGTCGTCATAGCTATAACGACCACGGCTGAAACCGTGATGAGTCTTCGAAACGGGCACGGAAATCAGGATGGGTGCCAGGACGACGCTTCAACTTGTGGTGGTATAAGAACCCCAAACTAAAACTATGAGAGTACTAGAACCAATGCTGATGCCTAATGCGCACTAGAAAGAAAAACAGAATAGAAGATGGCGAGTCGGCCAAAGACAGAACCCCTGATAAGTATGTGAAGCCGAAAGTAGAGTCTCGTCTGCAACCGTAAGGAATCTTAAAAATGGAGGTTGACATCAAAATGGGTACTAGAACCACGCATGAAACCGTAATGAGTTTTAGCAGTACAGATTACAGTCGGAGTCCATACCACAATCCAGACTGAAATCGTGATGAGTATAAAAACCTGAAAGTAAGATTAACATGAGCAGTAGAACCAAGCGTAAAACCTTGATAAGTACTAGAAAGTTGAAGTGAAATGGAAAATACCCAGTGGGACCAAGGTTGAATCCATAATGAGTATTTGAAATTGGATTCGAAAGCAAGATAGGCACCAGGAGAACGGATGAAACCCTGATGAATATCAGAAACAGGCACTGAAATCACGATGGGTACCAAAACAATGGCTGAAATCGTCATAAGTATCAGGATTGTCAATGGAAGTTAGACGCGTATCACGATTGTCACTGAGTCGGAGTTGACTGCAGAACTCGGCTAGATTTCGATTAAGCACTGTCGGTCGAGAAGTAGTCCTTGATGGAAAGGAAAACTCACGCCAACATGGTATTCATATCTGAAGCTAGCTGGCGAAATAGACCATGGTTTGCAATGGTAACAAGAGGAGAACTTAATGCACGATCGGTATACTTGACCTAGACTAGTTCTCTAAGTTAGCAAAAATCTATTGAATGAGAATGAGCAAAGCCGTGTTTCGAACTGTTAGTCTCAGTTTGTTGTGAACTGAAGTAGTATCCATGAATGATACTCAGCTTGAATCGGAGTGTCTTAATTTTAATTGTGCATCATGTAGAATCATGATGAAAAACGGCTATCGGTACTCACTTGCAAATGGCATGTTTGGTCTGTGGTTTTGGCAGGACTGTCATTCATAGCAGCAAGCTGTAGATACTAAAGCATATACGTTTTACCTGTAGTACGTGTAGATTGGAAAAAAGTACATTGATTACATCGTATTGTGCACATGTTGAAGCGCATTCGTTTATGTGGGTATACCTATCGGTTTGCCTATTCTTCACCGTGGTCGGAAAAAAAACAAAGCACGGCTAATGATTTGTTGGAAAAAAAACACAGCCAAGGTAGGTATTGGTAGGAAAAAAATCAAAGGTAGGCTCTTATGAGCCCCCCCCCCCCCCATCCTCACCTATTACACGTACATGGATGAATACACATACACCAAGCTTATTTTGTGATGTATATAAACACAAAGCTATGCTTTAGTTTAACACATCAGCAACAACCATAGATTACAGTGTTATCCAACGTCCTTGACACGCAAGTTTTCAAAAGAATACAACGAGCAAGTATATATATTTCTAAAAGTATACTCTTTTTGAATATCCTATCGAGTCACTAGCATCGATTAGTTTTTTTTCTCCTTACGTAATTCCACTAACATTCTATTGCGCTTTTATTGTACCATTATAATATTTTTTAGCGGCGCAAACTTTTGCCAATTCTTTCGTTAATGCATCGTAGAGACTATCTACCGTTAAACCACACTTCCTCATCAGATTTTTCCTACAAGAGTTGTCAACCCGGTTTCTCAAGCCTACTGTAGGAGAGAAATCTTTCAATATTTGATTCTTTTTTAGTCGTCAGAAAAGACGTGAACCCATGCGAATGTGAATATGATGCTCCGTGGAAAATCAGTGTTACATACTTTTTGTTGAGGCAGTTTTCTCTGAGTCAGTTTTTGACCAAGAATGGTGTACTTTCGATAAATCCTTTAAAGCGAGAGCAGGTTAAGCAGCACTATATTTAGTTTTCGAAACATTATTTAACGTTCTCATCGCGCATGGAAATCACTTTAGAATGTAAGTACAAACATACGGCATCGAAAGTTTTCGGATCTCGGAATGTTTCATACAATGCGATATTTCATTTCAATCTGACATTGGACGGAAAATAATATTCAATACAAATCGGAATGAGGAACTACAGTGTCTTTGAAATTACTCACACGTATATATAAGTGGATAATGCTAAACAGTTCGAATACCTCGAACTTCACCTCTGATGCCTCCTCCAAGACATCGAGAAAAGACGAGATAGTATGTAGTCATGTATAGACAAATGCAGAACTCTCAAGACATAGCACACTTACAATGATAAAAACTAGAAGAAGTGTAATCAGTCGAATTTGTAACACATTTTATGTATAGTGAGACACTATGTTTCAGTCTGTTTTTTATGAAGAAAGTGATTTATCTAGACTTCTAGAATCTCTGGTTTTGAGAAATAGTAAGCATTATTTTTTATTGTCGAAATTGACTTTGAAGTCAGAAACCCTATAGACTCACATTTTCATATAATGTCTATTATTTGAAGACTGTTTACTCCATATTTACCCATTATCTAGTGTTCTGGCAATCAATTAAATCTGTTTGTATTCAAAACTATGTTTCAGATTCACCTCATTCCATTTAAAGAAAAATAAAAGATAAAATGATGCGACTAGTGTTAATACTGTTGCTTGTACCAGCATTAATTAGTGCTCAACAACATCGTGATGGTCAAGGTGAAGATCGTGGTAGTCAAGATCGTCAAGGTGGTGGAGATCGTCGAGGTGGTGGAGATCGTCGAGGTGAAGATAATAATGGTAGCAATAATCGATGTGACCAATTTAACGGTGAAACGTATCAAATCAAAATAGACTATCGCACTTTCGTAGCCTACGAATTAGTCACACTCAACAAGGACGGCACAGTTAATGTAATTGACAATACAGAAAATGGTTTTAGTCCAGCAGCCGGAATCGAAGTTCAACCAATGACATCTCAACTTGGAGAATGGAAATGTGTCGGAAGAAATCGAATTCAAGTTCGTACTGCTAATTATAATCATCGAGTTGGTAATAGTCCTACTCCAAGTACATTGGCCATTAATTATCTCGATTTAACTACCAGACGAAACGATGAAAATGTTGAAGGAACGTACAGATTCGACTATTACCAGCTCGGCAGTTTTCTAACTGTTTTCAATCCACGACCATTGCCTGGTCGTTCATTTGGACCATACCGTGTCGTAGGTCGACGTTTCGTTTTCTTTAGAGCCTAGTTTGACGAAACAAGATTGTTGACAACGGAAAAAACAAACTTTAAAACATTGACACTTCTATACTTTTTTTTTTGTTTTTGTTTTTCTTTTTACTCTATATTTTACTCATTTTATCTTTAGAAATAAATAAATAGATCCATTCAATTGTTATCACTTGAGAGCGACGAAACATAAGAAAAGTCCCATCCTATCACATCGCTGAATGTGAGAGAAAAATTCGTAAAAAGATTGCGCAAATTTAGCGATGTGACACAGAAGGCGATGGATCCTATTGTTGGGTTGGAGATCAATGTGAGCGTCTAAACTGTCTTTTAGAAAGTCGAGAGCTTACAAAAAAATAAGTAAAAGTTTAAATGATTATAATCTGGGCTACAACTATGAATCAAAGTTATCATTTTCAATGCGAGTTGTAACTATCGATCAGTTTACCTCTTTTGAGTTTTTGAATGCTTCGGTGCATTTAATTTAGTTGAGATGGAATTCTCTCAATTCTGTTTTATTTTCCAGCTTGGTTTACTCAAAGAACCCAGCACAGTGGAGTTACTTTCGAAGAGTTCTTTTATGTATTAGTGTGCAGATCCGCTACTCTTGTTACTGTTCGTGATCTTAAGGTGAAAGAATGCATTGTGTACTATGCAGGATCAGGATTTTTCTTGCTTTTTGAAGTTACGAATAATACTCGAATATCAGAATGTTTATTGTTTAATTAGATTTATAAGTAGATATATTTTTAAATGAAAAGTATGCAGCCTGTCCAACTAAAAAGGGCCACGCTTGGCCAAAGTTGAGGAGAGAATTTTTTCGAACATAAAACGGCCGAATTTATTTATTGAAAAAAAATGTTTTGGAGTTTTCATATATTCTCTATTGATAGATAGCATTTGGTTTGGATGCGCAATATGGCTGAGTGATTACGTGCTCGTCAGATAATCACTAGCTACTGAGTTCAAACCTCAGTATCACCAGTCATGTCATGATCTTGGACAAGTTACTCATGTGTAATTGTCTCGTATCTCTCTAGTCGATAATATAGCGAATAACAATTTGAAATATATGAGAATCCGACGATGACATCTCATCCTGGGATCTCGCGCCGGTCGGCAGTCCGGACTAAAAGTGAAGCGTTTGACAAAAAAGTGTGCAGATGCCGCTGTTCACAAAAAAGAAAAAAACGATAGAAACCAACTATGAGCGAAGATAGTAGAAAACCATACCGGCTCGGATGTCGCCCGGGTAAACAAGGTCCGCGTCCCCTGCCGAGTGACCAGAACAGAGTCGAAAAATTGGGTACTGAAAAACCAAGAAGGAGGAGCGGCGAAAGGACAAGCACACAAAAACTGAAATTAGTCAAAAACGTACTGACAGTAGGAACGTGGAACGTTCAGATATTATGAGCAACTGGAAAACTAGTGTTGCTAAGAAAGCAGGTGAAGAAGTTCAGATATGATATAATAGGTATCTCAGAAGGACGCTGGACAGGCAAAGACAAAACATCAAAGGGAAACTTCATCTGGTCAGGAGAAGACAACACACACGTAAGAGATGTAGCATTGCTGCTAAGCAGAAAAGCTAGAAAGGCACACATGGGATATAGTCCAATCAGCTCACGAATCATCACAGCTAGGATTTGGGTGGGATGTTGAGTGTGGATGTGGGTGTGTGGGTGT